GACATGTCAACAGGACTTCTATTCAGTTTCTGAAATGCTTTTGGAAAATGTTAAGAAGTTTCTGGCAGGTATCTCCTTTTTGTCTTACATTTTTTCTTCTTCTGGATCAAAGAATCAACTCTGTGGTCTGTTTGTTTTACTGTTTCTAGACCTGTGGTCAACACCCCTTAAATTCCATTTTTATAGTGACTGTATGCCCTGGAGAGGGGCCTTCTTAGCTGCTGGAACACCGCTGCATTTTTTTATCATTATAGTTAAATTATCAATGTTCTTTCTACTGTGGCATATTTATTGTTGATGAATGCTAAGCTGTCAGTGTTGGCTTTTGTTTTCTTTGTAAATGCTGGCAGTAATAGGTCCTGCCTTTGGGCAAGTGAGTTTTATGTGTTCAGGTACTTTATTAACTCTATTATTCAAGTTATTGATATATTAATGTAAAATTCATAGAAGATGTTATTTTAGAAGCAGTGACTTTCCCTGCAGCGTATTTGGGGTCTTCAACCTTGATTTTTCTGATCTTTTTTCTCATCTGTTTACATGGAAGAAACCAGGAGAAAGCATGGAATTACCATGTCTTAATATGAACATAAAGAATTTAATTCTGCTATTGACGGTAATTAGTGATTCGTTATCTCTGACATAATGTGGTACCATAGTGTCATGGTTACATTTGTATCCACTGCTTGCTTAATGAAGTGAATTAATTTAGGCATTGCACTGAAATGCCAGGAAACTGTAGCCATGTGGTCATATTTCAAAGTGTAAAAAATTGTTGACGTACAGAAAAGATATTTTAAGTCGTTACAGCCGGCTTTGTACAGCCATACTAATATTTACTTGTATTCAGGTAATGACACCACACTTAATTTTGTCACTGCAGAAATCCATGTCCACCTGGGTATCAAAACTTTTTTTTTTCCCTTCCTGGTGGTGGTGATTGTCAAGCAAACCACAGAACTGTATGGAAGCTTAAATTGGCAGCTGTAACCCAAACACAGGAACAAAATTATTGAGGGGAAAAAAAAAGGAAAAAAAAAAAAAATGTGTGGAAGTTCTCCAGCAGCTCTTTTAACAGGAAGAAGACAGGAAAAAATAGAATTAGTAAATAACTGAAATTGGCATGGAAAATTAATAAAGTAATGAGCATAATGGAAGTTAATGGTCTTCATTTACCTGTATCTTTGTAGTTTAAAAGACATGAAGTTTTCCTTTGCTATTTGTTTGCATTTTAATTTTCTTTAGAGTTCTTTAGTGACGTGGCATAGCGAGAATTTTACTGGATTGCATGGTAAAGCGTACATTGTTAACTTACTGTTCAGTTACTGGTACCAAAGATTGATTTATTTATTAATCTCAGGGTGATGTGTTGAAACCATTGAAATAGGCTAGTGCTTTTGGAAGACGCCTGTAAATTTTAAATGGCAATAGCACCTGAAAAATTCAAACTTGACACTTAGTAAATATCAGGGAAATTTTGTGTAGTTGCCATCTGCAGTAGTACTAAAATGAAAAAAGGAAATGGATCAAAGGGCACAAACTTTCCTTTACCTTGTAACCACTAAAAATAGGTATTTCAAAATTGCAGTAAGAATTATAGGTATAGAGTTGCCTACATGGTGATTAGACGTTGTTCTGTTATTGTTGCAGTGGTGTATTTCATAATCTTAGTAAAGCAGTAACCCTCCATATATTCAAATTTACAAACTCATTTTTCTGGATTTATGTGGAACTTTGGGAGATAGGTGTGGTACTGAAGATGGAAAAATGTTTCCAAATGGTTTTTTGGGTGTGGGGTTTTTTTTAAATTTTTCAAGTAATAGTATTTACAGTAAAGTCTTGGCTTAGAATATTCTTATGGTTATGAAAGAACCTGAAAAATGTGTGTATGTGGAAAACTAAGCTTGTGAGTAAAGTAACTTTTCTTAGTTGAACAAGCATATTTATATTTGATAGTTCTGTTATTTGTTTGTTTGTTTGTTTTGGTTCAGTATAGTAAGAATGAAACTTTGTTTACAGTTTTTAAGTGACCACTGCTTAAAGCTTCAATCTATATTAATGAAAATTGCTGGAATTAATAATTTCTATTATGCAAAGTTTGGATAGCTTAGGTTTTTCAATAATGGTTTTTTTATGACATAGTGTAGGCGACTATGGCTTTGCTTCTCTGAAATGGCTGTATTGACTAAGTCTTTGCAATGACTTGAAGTTGTACATTTCAAGGTGATGGTTCAAGTCACTAATATTTTGTACGTATGAAGATTGTGTGAAGCATATAGAGTGTGAGGAAAAGTAACTGTTGATGTGACATGGTATATGACTGGAAACTATTGTCTCCACAGCACTGAGTTGTTTTCTTCAAAATGAAGTACGATTAAAATACCGTTCTCTCTTTGCTCATGATATTCATGTGTCTTACTGTTACTCTTTTGTTAATGGTGGTTTTCCTTTGCAGATTGGTACTTCATACTGAAATTTCAACATTATTATTTATCTAATAAGTTTCGCAGTGTTACTTTAAAATATGTTCTAGTTTAAGTAGCAGTATTCTTTTTTCTTGTTAGTGCTTACTGTTGTTATTTCTCATGTTGAATGTGCAACCTGAATGGAGAATTTGACTCTGGGAGCTTTGTCTCAAAGAAATAATTTCAAATCTGGAATGTTCAAGGGTTTTTTCTTTTTTTCTTTTTTTCAGACTTTTCAGTCATTTTTACTATGTTAATTTGGTTTTATGTTTTATTCTATGAGGCTGTTTTTAAAGGAACCACAGATACAATTTGTATAATTATATACCTTTATATTTCTTTTTCTTAGTGTTTTTGGGGAGTTGTTCAACACAGTAGTCTGCTGACTCTAAGGCAATTCATGTTTTTCTAAAATTTTTAGACTGTGCTCAATAATTCAGTAAGGTGCCATTATTACCTATTTAATGTATTCTTGCCATTAAACTTTCATTTCCTTTTGCACAGTTAAATGTCATTGAGGACTGAACTATACCAAGTTTGTCTTGTATTAAGATGAGTGATTCAGCAGTCCAAGCTTGCAATTCAAACCAAGCAGGTTACACTTCATTTCAATTAACTGCAACTATAGCTATTGTGATGATGTTTGCCCGGGTATGAAACTATATAGGTAGATATTACTGTTTAAAAATCTTGGTATTTGTATATTAAGATCCATCACATTGTTGGTTTTTCTCTTTTTGCCATTCTAAATGAACATTATAAGCTAACAAAGGAATACAGCTTGCCTTTTATGCTACTGGGGTGTTAATGAATAATAGAGGGTTACTTGGAAAATAAGTTTCTGAGGAGGAAAGTAAGTCTCTTAGGAGGAAAATTTACATTGTATAAGTTTTCCTCATACATGTTAACCCCAAATTTTAAATTACTATTTACATACCCTCCCATTAGTTAGAGCAGGAAAATCCAAGTGAAATATTAGGCCTCTTTCTGGTGGAAGATATTTTCCGCGTTGTTACTCTTGCATGTAGCTTGTGAAGTGATAGGCTCAAGTACTCAGCAGTATCCAAACACTATGGTAATGTTATGAATAAACTATCCACCTGAATTTCTTTCTTTATTCTGCAATTTGTTGACTATTTTCTGAAGAATAGTTTTTGGATTTAGTCTAATCTCAAAAAGAAGTGGTTTCTATAATTTATATGTCTCTTCCCCTAATTAATTTCCAGGTTCTTTGTTATTGTGCAGAGAGATAGAGATCTCAAAGATACTGAGTAATTAGAAATGTGATGCTAGGCAGAGTCTCAAATTAGAGACTCAAGTATGGGGAAAGGTTGAAGCATGAGCTCTGCTCTATTAAGAATCAGAATCCGCATGGAAAAGAGTCGTTACAAGTAAAAGCTGCAGGGAGCCAGGCTGCATGGTTTTTGTAGTTCAGGGAATAACTTGTGTCCTTTGTTCTTGGGTTTTGATATGTACAGCACAACACTTTCATCAGCTACAATTCAGTATCAGCAGAACTAGTTTAATCGTGTACTAGCTGGTTTTTTTACAGTGATTTGTGACTTTGTTTATATAAACAACCACAGCAAAAGAAAACAGCGGACTGAAGCTTACTTGCTTTGAGGCAAACTAGTATTTCCCTTAATAGCTCGCAACCTTTGTATATTTGTAAATGAATTTGCTAAAAATATTTTTATCTCATAGGGGAAATACCACATTTTTCTATTTAAAAGAATTATACCAAACTTTCCATGATGACTGCTGGGATGAAAGGCGCTCAGTTTCATTTCTAGACTTGCATACTTCTTAACAGGGAAAAAAGACTTGTGTTGTTCCATGGTGTTTTACTTACTAATAACTTTTCAAAGCTGTTTGTCAGGTAACTGGGGCAGGTGGGTGGATATTCCATTATTATTAGTTCTGTGAACTTGCATAGTTAAGAGGAGAGAGCACCCCAAATAAGTGTACCTAGTAGAGGAAGCCTGGGGCATGAGCTGAGCTATGTGGCCAGGCATTAAAGAATCCACAAAGAAGACACATCTATAATAAAAGGCAAAGAAAATTGGAAGACGTACTACATAATTTTGTCATTGGTAGTTATACACAATGCAAATTTTACAGAAAAAATATATGTACATAATACAGGGGACATGACATCACTTGAATGGAGTGGGGCATTATCGTCAGAATCTCACAGCAAACTAATTTTTGGTATGTCTTTTCATAGAATGTATTTTACAAAATCATTTAGTAGAAGAAAAACATCCAAGATATTTGGAAAATTTATGAAGTCAGTAGTGTAGTCTATTAATGGCAAATCTTCACCATTGGAAAAGGATCATTTAATGGAAAAGTGTGCCACCACCTTATGTTGATATGGACTTGCAGACGTGTAATCATAATCACATAAAAATGTGATATTTGAAAGAAGACAGCACTAGCAAATTTTCTGGTTGTAACCTTTGTTCTGAGTTTTCTTTACTTTGTTTTTACTGTTACTGAATTATATTTGCATCATTTTCCTTAACAAAACCTTACAGCTTTGCTGAGAATGCACGAGAGCAATATGAAAAATTGTCCAACATGCACAACAACATGACTAAATTGTATGAAAATTTGGGAGAATACTTTACCTTTGACCCCAAAGCAATAAGCATTGAAGAATTCTTTGGCGATCTGAGCAACTTCAGAACTCTCTTTTTGGTGAGTAATGTGTGCAAAACCTTATACATATTCTTATTGCTTCTTTCTCCCAATTTTATTTCTTTTCTCTCTGTTTCTCGTGTTGTAGTTAACTTTGTTTTATTCTGTGGCAGGAAATTGGATTAATGTCTCCAGAGTTATTTAGGTCTTGGTCTCTGGTAACTATCATCCTCCAGTTTGTAACTTGCCAACTCAACTGTCAATGTGGTTGAGACATACGGATAAGTAGAAAATATTTTTCCTCATTTAAAAAACTTGCTTGTTGGTTGATGCACAACAAACAGGTGTGATACTGAAAAATATGTTAAAATCAAGACCTGAATGGACGTGTCTACATTCATGTTGTGCTGGAATCCGGCTGATGCCTTAATGATGCTGTGATGTGAAGGCTGAGACTTTTGATGAGCTGACAGAACTCATGAAGCTCACTTAGATGCTTACATTCTGATTTTTAGCATCTAGTGTGGTTGATGTCAAGGTATGGCTTTTTTAAGAAGGAATTTAAGAATTTCATTTTAAGCAGCTAAGTTTTTTAATGAGTTTAATGTTGTCTTTCCTAGTGGCTGTCTGGGAGCCATAATTAGCTGCACCGTAGGAAGCGTGCAGGGAAAACAGATGCCTAGAAATGTCACATGGTGTCTCTAGAGAATATTAAAGTCACTTGGAAATGCCACTGTTTACCATACAGCTGTGGCTCCCTGATCTGTCTATTGCCAGTAGCTGGCTTGTTTTATCATGTAATCATAAGGACTTTCAGTTTCAGTGTGATGGAGGAATAACTACTTTAAAACATAATTTTCATACCAAGTTTACTTTATTAGAAAACTCTTATTACAATATATTTAACCACTCATTTTAAATTAACTGGAATTATTCCTTTTTTTCCTTAAAGAAATCACCAGTTCTTTTATAATTAGTAAGTGTGCCAACACATCTGGGTGAAGACTTGTCAAGAATAGGAATAGTCATGAGATATTTCAGCGCATTTACTTCTTCATAAATCCAAGGCTTACATTTATAAATGTGGATGTCTGAATTTGGAAATCTACTCCATTGTAACTACTTGAAACAGACTTTCAGGCTAGCAATGTCCAAATATTGTGATGAAAGTCTGTCCTCAAGTATGTATTTAACCTGCTATGAAGGTGATAGAAAGCATTTGCCCTCCAGCTCCTAGAAGGTGTATTAGAATGAAAATACTTCCAATTGCTTGCTTTTGTTTTCCTCCCGTTTGAGTTCCTAAAGATCTGGCTGATGGCCTGTTGCTCTTCAACAGTTATCATTGAATTTTCAGGGAGAATATTTATAAGAGTTTCATGTATTTCTTTGGAGTGATTGAGTAATATCGGGGTGGGAAAAAACGTGATATTTTATGTTTTTGGTGGGCAAATGTGAGAAATTAAATATGAAGTGCAGTAACTCTTCTAATACTAAAGATGGTATATTTTTGTGGCATTTCCAAGTGAGCCAAAAGCAGAAAAGAAACTACTGTGTGTATGTCACAGTTCCAGGAACATGTGAAATTGTTATTGTTTCAGGTTTAGAATGAGTTTTTGTATGTAATTCTGTCAGAGTGAAGCGTTGGACTATATGATGTAGTATTAATGATACATATTTTCATATTATGATTTCAGTAACACTTGTTTTTTAAATGCTTTTGCATGGGTATAACTGGGTGTTGCTAATTATTTTGACAAGGAGATGAAAAACAGTCTAGCTGACTACATTTTATCCCTGTTTATTGTGTGCTAGTTTGGGAGAGAGGAGTTCTGTGAGATTTATCTGTATATCTTCATACAGAGGGCAAATCCCTTGAGTTTCAAGGTACAATAGTTTTGTATTTTCTACATTAATGTTGTATTCTGTAGAAATAAATGGTTATTCCATCCTTTAGCCTTTAATATAATGGCTATATGATGTATGATTATAATAGTCAATGCTTTTACCTGTGTCCATTATTTTGGTAACTTAAAGACCGAAGGGGCAACCGAAGAAAAACCTTGAATTAAAAGCACTTGTTACGAAAGAATTACAAGACCTGTGGTGCCAAAATTTCAAATATACAGATGTGCAATGCATCTTCTGATGGTCTAAGTTGCCCTATCTGCAAAGACAGAATTTGGGTTAATTTAAGAAGTTTTTATTTCAATACTTCCTGTACAATATCAACTCTGTGTTGCTGGCTATCTGTGTCTAAATTCATGGAAATATGTTGGTTGGACTGCTGGAAATTATGTAGTTTAATTTTCTGCTCGAAGCATGATCAAGTTAGAGCGGGTTGCACAGGGCCTTGTTCAACCACTTTGGGTCCATTTTCCAGTGCTTGATTACACTTGTGGTGGGAAAACAAATAACTGAATAAAGTTTCCTAAGTTACAACTTTTTTCCATCACCCGTCTTCTTTCACTGTGTGCCTCTGAGGAAAATCTAGTTCTGTCTTCTCTACAGCCTCCCATTACTTCATAGAGAGAATTAGGTCTTTGTGGCGCCATCTCTTCTTACAGCTCAGCAAACTTATTTCTCTCATCTTCTGCTTGTCATGTGCTCCAGCTGCCTCGTCACCTTGGTATCCACCTGCTGGACTCACTCCCGTGTATCTATATGTGTCGTACTGGAGACCCCAGCCTGGATGCAGAACTCCAGATATGGTTTTGGAAGTGCCAGTAGAATAGAAGAATCACTTCCTTTGACCTGCTTATTACAGTTTTCCATAGCCTGGTGTACATTAGACTCTGCTGCAAGGCCACAGTGCTGCCTCAGATTCAGCTGCAAAACAGCTGTCTAGGATTCATGCTCTTCCATTTTATGTTAGTGACAGGCAGAGCTAGGGGGAAGCCTTGTAGTGCAAGCCTATACTGTACAGAAACCTGAGAAGCTGGCCAGGGAAAGGGTTCCCTTTTTTTTTTTTTTTTTTTTGTAGTGCATCTCTGCCTTTACTGAAGGGATGATTCATATTTGGCCTGACTTGTCCTAACTTTCCTCCACCGCCCCACCCAAATATTTGCTAATTTACCTCATTGAAATGAGGTCCTGTTTTAGGAACATTTAGTGAAATACTTTATTCACGTGGTTCCCAATCTAGATTGTTCAGGTGGCGTAGTTAGTCACAGAATAATTTTAATTTGAATTGAGAATAAATCTTTCTTCAGTATGAACTCAATTCATGTGTAGTTATAACAAAGCTCCAGATACCCAATTCTCACTGTTTTAGGAAGCTGTCAAAGATTAGAACATTTCTAACTTTATTTTTAAGTACTGAAATAGTTACAGCAATCAGTAATGGAGGTATTGAGACTGCTTGTGCAAACTACTGCTAATTATTATTGACACGTAATCCTCTGGTTAGCGCTATATACATGTGTATGTATCTTACTCCTATGGGTATGGAACAGTGGTGTAAATTGTATAAACTCCCTACTTAGTTATCCAGAGAAATGTTATTTGGGTTTTATTTTCCAGAATCTACATTACTTTGTTTGCTCTTTATATGTGAGTGCACAAATACCGGTGTTCTTTGAGTACCGTCTGGGACTCAGAAGCACACAGTAGACTTGTCTTGATTTTGTTGTTAATGCTGTTATTTAGTAGGAGGAGAAGAGGCTGTTGTGGAAGTGTTTGGCACAATTAAAACCCCCTCTGTAGTTGAATCCTTTTCTTCTGCTAGATTTGATCTTCAGCAAGTAGGTTTTGTATGTTTTCAGCAGATCGTATCTTCTCGGCTTCTTTCAAACGTAATCCGTCTGTTTGTATTCATTTATGTACTAAATCAGTTTTAATGGACTTTCCTTCTTTTTAAACTTGGGATATAAGGAGTAGCTATGGACAAACCAAGGGAGAGGCCTCCTTCTGGTAGGCACTATGTAGTTGTGAAATAGTGGTCACTTGTTACTGAGGACCACAATAACTTCACGTGTACATTCTTATAATCCTTGGTATGAGATTGTTATGTTCTGCTAACATCTCACCTAAACCCTTCATCTTGTGGTGTAAATACACTCAACAAATTAATGCATTGCAAAACATTAATATCTCTTTACCTAGTTGACATAAAGTGCCTTCTGTGTTAAGGGGAAATCATTATAGATACAAACTTCTGTTACTTCTAGCAAAAGTCACAATCCACCACGTGTTTGAGAGCCTGGGGGCCTTTCTGCTTTTGGAGTTTCTACAAACCTATGTATGGTCAGTTCTTAGGATATCCATACGATACTTATGTTTTACCGAAGAACAAGGACAACCTGCAAAAAAATACTTTCCTAGGGTGGAAAATTAATCCAAAGACTAAGTCTCTGTAAATTTATCTAGTTTATCCAGAGAGAACTGTCAAGTTCTGTATTCTGGTTTGGAATATTAAACTCGCATTCCAAATAGAATAGACGTACCACAAGTCGTCTTTCTGAGTTTCTGGAAAAGTGGGGCTAATTTCTTGCATTGCTTTGTAATTTTAGGAAGTGGACAATATAATTTACTAGGTTACTGTTCTAATGCTACGTGTTTGTCTAGATACTTAACAATACCCATCTGATGTTATGGTCTGTAAAAGCTTTATCTGTTATTTTATCTTCTAAGTCTCTTCAAAAAAGTTGTTAAATAAGGAAATGAACTTGGACCACATGTATGATGCATACTAATTTAAATAGTAATGCTTCACTAGGAAAAAAAAGTGAAATCTGAGGCATACATAGCTTAAGGAGACACTTTCTTTTACTTAGCGTCACTTGTGCTTCAGTCAATTCACTTGTTCAGATATATTCAGTAGTAGTAGTTGTAATTGTAATTAGGTCTTTTGAGAATTTCTTGACTTATTTTATCCACTAGAGCAGAACCTTGTAGACTTTAGTGGCGCAAAGGTTCTTGTTTAAGGATTTATTTTTTTCCAGGCAGTTGAGGAAGGCCTAGGGCAAGCATTAAAAGTTCACAGTACAGTAGTTTTTTTCTATAAGGAAAAAATTACTTAAAAGAATTGAGATTTTCTGCAACGTTTTGATGCTTGTTTCCTG